GTGAATCAAGTTTTGGAGTAGTACTTGAGATGTACTATCAACTATCATTAAGATGATTGGACAACTCTTTTACCATTGAGAGAGTTTGCATATAATAATTTGGCACATTCTTTTATTCAACAAACACCTTTCTTTGCCAACTATGGTTATCATCTATGTCTTGATACTTTTAACTTTTCAAAAGTTGATAATCTTATAATGAAAGATTTGATAAATTATTTATTAGAGCTACATGTAATAATGAAGGTACAATTAAAGAGAGTTCAAGAATAACAAAAAATTAATGTAGATGCCTATTGCAAAGAACAACCACAATTCAATGTACGTGACAAGATATGGTTACTTTGTTGTAATATCAAGACTGCTCATTTTTGTGACAAATTAGACTATTGTGAGTTTGGATCTTTTTATATTAATAAACAAGTCAATCAGATTGCTTAAGAATTATAACTACAAAAGTCTATAAAGATTCATCCCTTATTTCACGTTGTTGTGTTGTGTTTTGGCTACCATATGAAAATAATGTGTTTATATATTTAATATATAATTTACTAGATAACATGGTAAATGACATGTTAATAGATTTTTGTTGCTTATAGGATGTGGATAGATTGTTATCTCAAAAAGAAGTTGTTTAAAAGGACTTTTTATTAAAATTTATATAACTCTATTTTCTTTTGATAGTGACTTTTGAAATTGATCTTATAAGTAGTAACTTTTAAACATTTAGACTCACTCTTATTAGACATTGGTGATCCTTGAAGTTTTATTTTGGTTCTTTTATTTAGTATTTATAGCATATATTATATAAATCTTATAAGAAAAAAATTAGAGAGGGATATTGGTAGCAAAAAGAGAAGTTGGGGCATCTACATGAATGAATGGAGATAGATGATGAAAATCTCCATTCCTATTGACTAAAAATCATGCCCAATGGGCTTCAAGGAGGTTGTTTGAGGTCCTATTAGGAATTAGGGTTATTCTTTTGGAGCCATTTGAGTTTTGGAAGCTAAAATCAGAAAATTTAGGTTTTCGGCTATAGTTTTGGTGTAAATTTTGTGTGTTTTGGAGTCTATATGAAGGAGATATGGGCACTCAAAGTTAAGGTATTGATTTTGTATATATTGTCACTCTTTTGGACATAAAGCATGTGTACAAAAAGCAATAAAGGATCGGCGACTGGAATTGAAGAGAAATTTTTTTGGCTATACATTTGGCATACTGTTTGATAGATTTTAAGTTTAAAATGAAGGAGATATTGGAAGTTGAAGTTAGTGCTTCAAATCTAAGGGTAGTAAGTGACCCAATTTACTAGTTGTTGTGTTTTGAGCTATATCTTGAGCAATTTGACAAGATTTTGGCTCAAAATTTTCTAAAGTGTGTGTAAACATGTTAATTAAATTTATATACAAATTTTGTGGTATTTAGATTTTGGATTTTTGAAATGTAAAGAAAATAGTTTTTAGATGCTTGTAGATTAGAATTTAGAGTATCTGTTAGGATTTGTAAGTTTTCAAAAGAGCGATAATAGATTTATGGTTCATTTTTTTTTATAAAGCTTAAGAATAGAATCTATATTATATAGAAATTTGAAAAAAAATAAATAATTAGATCAAGGGATATGAATTTCCAAAGTTTAGGATAAAAATATGTTTTACGAAAAGAAAATGTTTTGAAGGATTTTGTTGTAATTTGAGCTTTTGTGCAAAATAAAGGAATTTTGAGAGATAAGACATCATAATTAAGTCAAAGATAAACTTTCTACAATTAGATATTTAATGTGTTCTCAAATTGCAAATCATACCAAATGACAACATATTTCTTCTTGAGTTATATAAGATAGTAAATAACTTGAGAAGAAGACAAATGCCACCTCCTCCTATAGAAGTAGATAATAATCAAGAGTTCAAGGTGGAAGAATTCTTAGATTCAAGGTGGCACCAAAATAAGTTAAAATATCTTATTCATTGGTGTGGATATGATATTAGTGAACACACATGAAAGCCAACAAAAAATCTTACAAATGTAGCAAAGAGAGTTGAAGCTTTTCATTAACAACATCTATCAAAACCAAGATGAAGAATAGAAAAACTTTGTTATAAAGGAAACAAGATTAAAAGAAGATAACAATCTCTCTTGTATTTTTCTTTCTAGCTTTTGTATATTGGAGATGCTAAGGAGATAGAAAACAACAATCAATAGATTCAATTCAAGAGCTTTCATTTGCAAACTTACCAGATGAGATATTAGAATTGTCACAACTTTTAAGATGACAAAATCAAGATGAAGATCCTCGAGAATGACATACCTTTTTTCAAATAGATGGCAAGATATAATGTGTTTGGTATCACAACCTTAGAAGAGACTCCCAATATTTGAAGCTTTTATTAGAGATAGAAACAACTCCTGATCGTGTTCCAAATATTTTATTTGAAAAAAGTTATGAAGGCCTCAACAACAACCAAATAAAAGGGTGTTCTTCTTGCCTTGATATGGAACACTATCAATGGCTGAGAGGACCTATCAACCAGCTTTGAAGGGAACAAAGATCAGAATATGAGGCAAATACAATTTGTTGCATCTTAGATTTCTTTAATATATGAAGACTGCTCCCTATGGAACTTGTGTCTAAAAAGAAAAGTAATATCATAGATTTACATAAATATTCTAATTAATACCTATACGATTAGATAGAAGTAAGTAAAAATAGGCTAATTTCATAATATCTTCTAGAGAAGCTTTGTAAAAGCTTTATAAACACTACTTTGATTTTATATGTAGTTTTTAGTTGATTGATAGATTAGAAACTTGGTCAACAAGTTAACCATGTATTGATAGCTTGCAAGACAAGCTAACTTTGTGGCGCACATATAGAAAATTTGTCTTGCAAGTTAAGATATATATGTCTTGCAAAGTCAACATGTTTTGGAAGTCCTATAGGACATTGTCACATAGCTCCTCATTAAAAGTATATATGGAGGCAAGAGTGAACTCTTCTTCACACTTGTCAATGCCTTTTTAGTCCTCAGATTTATTTTAAGACTTTTTAGTCTTTTATTTTATTTTATTTTATTTTATTTTTATAATAGCCATTTTAGTTCAATGATATTTCATTTTTGAGTGACTTTTTAGTTCTTTTTAGTGTGACAAGAGTGTATTGAGGATTTCTTTCTTCGAGATTCATGTCCTTGACATCTTATCATATGTTGCTAAAAATATTATTTATAGTATTTTTATTATTATTTTTTATTTTCATGTACTTCAATAGTAACATGCAGTTAATAACATTATAAAAAAGTTGTAGATATCATGTATATCAAAAGTACATATTAATATGTTTTTTATTTTATTTTATTTAAGTATATTAGCTAAGCTTTATTGATATTCAGTTTTCTCTAGAAATGTATCATACTGTTATGTTATGCTATTTTTTATATTATTTTATTTGTATGTATGTACCTGCCTTTGATTTTCTTAAAGTTTACTACAAGGTTTCAAAGATTTTATAATCAAATTTTATTAATGTTAGATGATTGCATTGACCAATGTATAATTTTTTTTTTCATTGATATAAATATACATCACAATATTTATAAACTTTGTTGACAGAGTCAAATAAATTCAATGACATGATTCGGCATTTGATTCAGTAGAATATACAAAAACTTTATATATTTAAGTGTTTATGTTTGAAAGAAGCTGTAAATTATTTTTTACTCTTTACATAGTAAAATACCTCTTTATAATTTATGTCAAGATTGAACTATATTTCTAAATTAAACCTTTCAAAAGTCAAATATGTTTAAAAAACATTAAATATTCAAAAGTCTGTTGTGAATAAACACACATGTTGCACACATTTTATTCTGATAAAAAAAAGTTAGTTGTTTTCATTTATTGTTTTTGTTTGTACATGAGGTAAATATGATTTATAAACTTAAAATGATTTTTGGGAAAGTTATTAAAATTAAGAAATCAAATTAAAACTTAATAAGAAATTACAAAATGAATTAACACATCAGATTTATTCAAATAATATATATTTTTACAACAAATAGAAATGACTTTGTACTGATTTCTATTTTTGGTGTATCAAATTTGAGGAAGCATACAAACTTACTTCATGGATATAAATATGTAATACTTTTAAAATCATAATTACAACTTATAATTTTTAGAATTAAATTTATGATTTTTTTATTTTTTGATTTCTTTATTCTTATCTTAGATTTGTTAACTAGCTCAAGAGCAATACCAGTCCTTTTTAAGTATGTTTATTAAAAAAGAAGTAAAAAGAAAAAAAGAAAAAGATGAGTTGTAATAACTTATCCAATCCATCAACATTGTTATCCTACTCTTTGTCTATGGGCTAAAATATCTTTTCTTTCAGTTCTTCATATTTATTTATTTATTTATTTATAGGCATAAAATGATTTTCTAATACAGGACAAATTTTCAAAAGTATACAAAAATTTACAAAAAAGTTATATACTCCTTTTTTCTAAGAATAATAACAGCTTTCTTGTGGCCCCAACGTAAGAAGCCTTGGGAACGGTGCCCGCATGGGGAACGGACCGTGAGAACTCCACATTAGCCAAGTTCCCTCGAACTTGAACATTAGGGGAACACACACTTTAGTTCCACCACGCCAATGGAACGACTCGCAACGGACTCTGCCCGGACTGAATTTTTAGTTTTTTCCACACCAACCGCTGCCCGCGGACCGACATGATTTCCAAACCAGGTTTTATCCAACTAAAGGTTCATCCACTAAGGGAGTCAGCGGATGAACATAGGGAGGATCCGAATAGCACCCGACGGATATGCCTCCGCGTGCTCAAGGCGCCGAAGCCTGTTAGGCGCGAATGTTCGAAAGTTCCAAGTAGAGCATTTAAAAAGTGGAACAGGGGCATTGGGTGCCCGTGGCATGGCCCTGTCGGCGAGCGCGGGGATCGGTATATCCTCCTCAAGGATATGCTCGATGCTTGCGCTCCATTACTACGGCATTCACCTATTCTTCAATGGTGGTTTCCGCGCTGCTTTAAATCGGGGCGACGACGCATGTGGTGAGCTTGATTGCGTGGAGTGTCGCAGATCGAGCTGGGAACGCCCTTCTCTAATCACTTCATAAGGTGCTTGCGCTGCCTATTCTGGCTTAGGAGTCCTCCAAGTTCGTTGAAGCTGTAGTTTTACAAGTGCTTGTGGCCTGGACGACGTTGTTTTTCATCAAGTGTCGGCTGCGTTGTTTTTGAGTTGTAACCGGATTTCACAGGAGTGGTCCGTGTCCGACTATTCTGTGAGTTGAATTGGAGGTTATGGAGGCGGGTACAAGGCGTAGTGAATTATAGATATGAGGCACGTTCCGGGATGAGCTGATCTGTGGAAGTTTTCGTGCACGCGGTTGTTGTATTAGTGGTCTTGACGAGGAAGGAGCAGGGAGATTGGATTGGAGCATGTGCTGCAGTGGAAAAGAGACGCTTAATTGAGGAGGTCTTGCTGCAGTTTACGGTTATCAAACGGAGTCTTTTGTGTGGAGCCGTAGCGGGGTCGAGGGAAGAGATTGTTGGGCTCTATCGAGCCGTCGTCTCACAGTGAGGAACCGTCAGAGTTTCTCTTAGAATTTCAGGCGATAGATTCCAAGTGGATGATTCAAGTGGATAATTTCAAGTGGATGATTCCCGTGTGGAGATTGTGTGAATGAGACTGGGTTTGATCTGCACACAGAGAGGACGTCAATTGCAGGAACACTCTGACGGATTTCAAGAATTTGGGCGAGAAGAGTAGCCAGTTCGCGGGATTCAAGTTTTGATAATTTCATAGATCAAGTGCATTATTCGTTTTAATTGAGGAGCCGAGTCTCGAGTTGCAATATGGCAGATACCAATGTTATTAGTTTCGAAGCTTCTTCTCACGAAGTAATTTATGTCGAGAAAACTTAACAGTCGATTTATGTCCATGCCGGAGTGCTTCAACAACTACATCAAGCTGCGAACGATAGTCACCTGTTACACGAACGTGAGGATTCTGAGGATATGTACTTGTCTTGTCAAAGCCCTGTAATCGTGTCCAGAACTGACTCATTGAGGAGCACGAGTAGTTTCCGTAGGGATTCCTCTTTTAATGCTTCCGAATGTAGCTCGAGTGGGATGAAACAGATCATTAGAAAGGCATCTCAGAGGACATCGATTGCCGGTCACGACTCAAATTCTATGGAAAGCCGGGTACTTGAAGAGGTTGAGCACGGATTCAAAAACAAATTCCAAGAGGAAGGAAGGGAGTGCGCTAGAGAATTCCATGAGGTATAATTCCTTCTTTTCGAATCTCTCGCAATCTATGAAGTGGTATACTTGCACTCCTGTGTCGGATTCGATGCTTACAAATGTATTCTGCAAATGCAGTTTCAAGACTTAGCCAATTGTTTGCACGGAGGGAGAGCTCTCAGAAAGAACAAATTGCAGAAGTTATTGTGCATAACCGGAGTGGCTAGCGCTTGTGACTTTATTGCAAACCCACGTAGGATCTTTCAGTCTAAAAATGGCTGTCCTGGTCATCCCTGTGCTCGAGAGGTGGCGGCAGTTTCGAAGAAAGGCTTGTTCAGTGGATGTTTCGCCCCTTTTGTAGATGGTGCTCTGCCTCAGTTGGGCTCACCATCACAACAGCAAACGAGACCCATCTTCCAATTTACGAAGGTCGAATCCACCGTAAGTATTTATGCTTTCCCACTATGTCACGATGTAGTGTTGCATCTCTACTTTCAGAAGTCTATGATAAGATTGCAGTTTCTGAATTGATATTCTGAGACTCAATACCGATTATGTGCAGCAACGCGACTTTCCAGCATGGACAATGGAGGAGTACATGACGAAGAATGGAAGGATCCAGGAGTGGATGTATAGGGTACGTAAACAATCTTTGCTCTTCTTACAGAGTCTGGGATTGAATTGCCGGGTGGTGTCAAGACTCAGGAGTTCGATGTGTCATTCGTCATTTGATTACATTACTTTCGTCCTTGTTGAACACTTGAGATTTGGTTGCTTACAACTACTCGCATTTGCTATTTATCTTTACAGAAGGATGACGGAGAGTTCGGAGGAATCGAGGGAAACAATTTAATGAGTCATTACTTGGACGATGATATCGTAAACTCTGACGACACAGATAGCGACTGAGAGACTGAGGGACTAGACGAAACAATTTTATCACCACCCAACTATCAATATTCACGTAGGCATCGGCTGAGGTTGAAGCTGTACATCTATAAATGCAAATCGACAGACCGGCTCTTTGATATTAACAAATGAGGACACCTACACGATCAAGCGCTAATTCTCAAACAAATCTGACCGACAGGAATTTTCATTTTAAAGATGCTTCGCTGAGGATCGAATCAGGGTCACTGCTTACACATGTAAGCAGATCTGAGAAAATGCCCTGTAAATGGCTAAATGGTGAGAATTGCAACGGGAACCTCTCACCACGTGTTGAACGCTAGCTGCCACTCCGCACCCATTGGGGAGAAAGCCCTTTTTGCGAAATATCACCGATGGAAAGTTTGCGGAACCTTAAGTATCCCGTACCTGCGCTCGTCTATACTCGTATAGTTATAGCAACGTCACCTGATTTAACCAGGCTTGAGTACTTTCATCACCTTATGGAAATCTGTCTGTCATCTCTTAGATCAAACAGATGGCCAACGTCATGGTGGCATTAAAGTTGAAGCAGGACTAGGACCGAAGAATTTTATCCATTACAATCAAATACTCGGTCCTGTAACATAGGCGCTTAGATCACAACGGAACAGTCCTCAGCACAATGTGTGATCTATCAGTTCTGTACAATACTATGATCTCCGCGTCTGTGTGGGGAAACATACAGTAGTCTTCACCGGGGTTCTACAATATGGACTCGAGGAGTTGGCATCGATACCCCTGTTCAGCCTGTCTTGGAGATGACTGTCTTATTTCCGGAGCTGATGAAGCTCCACGAGCTCCCCTGCTGTTGAGATTGCGATCAGCGTGGGAAGAGAGTTGATTAGCTCATCCATTCGGGAGGAGCGAATAACTTGCCGAAGCTTTGTGAGACAGGAATTGACTGAGTGTAATTGTTTTAAAATTTGAAACAGATAAAATAGACGGACAGAAGTTTCTGCCAATAATGAAGTATCACTTCCACTTCGAAGAGTTGATGCCAATTTTGATCCACATGATTTATCTGTAGAATACACTTGTGGATTAATGAGTGATCATGTCGCGCTGAATTACGTAATTTCTTTTATAGACTTTAAATACACCTAACTGTGAATTTTCATGAGTATAAACTGTACACGCAAACCCTATAAATGTATTTATAGACACACAAATAAGTAACTTGATTTCTAAAAATATGAATCTCGGAAAATCTGTCGGATCCAACCAGAACGCATCAGATCATATTTATACAGACAATTGATACTGCAGGAACAAGACGAGTAGTTCTTGTATTTTGCACATAATCCTTTTTCTAAGACAACTATTATAGTACCATTTCATCACCTGTGTTACAGATTCATGCAAATGCACTGGTTACAATCACTGATTCCTCGAGATTTACATTAAATATTTCTGAATTTTTGTACATGTCACCCAAAAAACATATTAATATTTATTTCTGTTATTGATTTGTTTTGTGAGTTCCCCATGAATAATATTGATAAATCAATAGCATAGTAGGGTATTTCAATTTGTTGGATACAAATTTGATATACCCAGAATCTTAATTGAAGCTGGCAGGTCATGTACAGAGGATTTCAAGCGCTTTCTATGGGTGGTCTCCAGGTAAACTAACAAGTGGTATCAACTAAGGAAGGAAGTGCTAAACTTGAGCTTCAGGAAACAGTGTATTTCATCCATGCGGAGTATTTCATGTTATGCTCACTTTATTCCTTGAGGTGATGATGAACCATTGTAACTGCAAGTTTGCCAAAGCTATTTAAGATGTTCTTTATATACTTTTGTTCTCATCATCCATCTTTTGTACTGTAATTCAATCTTTCATTCTTCCTAGAGCTGGCTGATTCCTTTGTCACATACGTCTTGCAGTTTCAGTCTTAAAGCAGCTAAATTGGGAAAAAATACAACATTCTGGAGCTTGAGTTTACTGAGGACAAACAAACTATTCTTAAATTCATATTGTACTGTCAAAGTGAAGATCAAAGTATTTGGCCAGGACAGTACTAAACCTGTGTATGTCTCTCATCTGAGATGCTGGGTGAAATTTTGACAGCAGAAGATGGCTCTTATAATATCAGGAGCCAACTTCTAACCTAGATGCCGGATGAAATGCACAATCAACAACCAGCCAAGTTCTGGCCACGAGTTTAGGGTTTGATATTCATTAATAAACACAGATTGCTGAATCTGTTGTACGTCATGTGCTGGTACTATTTTTGGTTTTACCTTTAGAGCAAAAATATTGGTGGACCCTTTCACTACTTTGTGAGGGGTGACTCTTGATTGGCCAAAATATACTATTTACTTCATTTGTATTCACATGCATGGCTGCAAAAGTAGCTAACCCCCACTCATTGTCGAAAGTGGTTCTTGCGAAGGGTGGCGAACGCAATGAAGCTGCGGAGGCCGAGGCTCGCTGGAGCTGTTCGATCTCCTGTAGGGGACTGAATGTCACTTGAGTTGCGTACGAAATAGGTTCAATTTGTTGCCACGGGTGCTTGCAAAGTGCACACTTTATCACTGAACTTCCGAAATTGGGGTTGTGATCCAGCAAAGGGTGGAACAATAAAATTGGTTATTTTTAGGTTTAGGGTTAGGGTTACTAATATTTGATTTTCACTCTGACTTTGAACCATGGCGGGTTCTCACTCGTACGCAGAGTTTGTGCGAGCAAAGCTTGCTCATGCCTCAGTCCTCTCAACCCTGTCCAACCCTGTCGGAGGACAACCAAGAGTTCCTGCATACTGCTCGCAATACGGATTTTGTCGAACCCGAGTTGGTCGTGGCTGTAACCAGCATAGGTAAATTCGACAAAATCCATCCTACGATCCCGACCGCAGGAGAATCTCCATCGTCGAGCTACACGTGCAGTAGTAGTGGGTTTCTTCTCCACACCGAAGTTCTTCCTGTCAAGGTGGATCAAGAAATCGTCAAACGGGAGAGCGCCCATCTCCAAAAACATGCTGTGGTTTCATACTTTGTAGGAGGTAAGCAGAACTCCTATGTGCTGAATAAGTGGCTTGAAGCAGTCAAAGAGCAAGTTGGAAATTCAATTGTGTTAGGTCGGGGTTTAGGTAGGGGGGTTTTTTCAGCTACTCAGCATGTAGGCAGTCACAACGCAACAACTGCTTATACACATGTTGATAACCTCGATACCGAAGGAGGAATGAAGAGTCCCCGGTAGTACTCGACACCCAAGAAGAGGTCGCTCATTCAAAAGCCTATTACGTAGCACTTACTCCCAACAGACTGGAGGAACACCGTTCTCTTGTGGCATCAATAACTCCCCTTCACCCTGTTACTGGTCCACAAGGTCCCAACCGTGAAATCTCCTTTACAGGGACACCATTCCGCGAAACGATAGGGACTCAGCGGGATCCAGACAGTACAGGCAGTTCAAAAGATACAGCTGACCCAATGTGGGGTGCCCAAGCTACTAGACAAGTGGCCTTGTCGAATATAACACCCGCAATAAGCGAACACAACCAGGAGGGCAACGAACCCAGTGCCATCCCGCCTAGTGGAATCGACAGCCTGAGCGAGGTCGAGGCACACCCCGACAATCACATCCCGCAATCGTGCGAAGACGCGGTGCCTCTTCCTCCCCTCCAAGCTACGATCCGCCCGACTCATGAATTCGGTGTCCATAACTTGATCCAACGCCCATGCTTCGACTTGAGTGGTGTAGCTACATAGTCTCACTCCGTCCCGAGGGCCAGTATAGGAGATCCATCTACTGGATTCCCCCCTAAGCTCCACATTAACACTGATATTCGATTCATATCCCATTCTGGTGCATCCACCCCCAAGGACACCGACCGGGGCAACAGAAGAACTACCGGAATTCTTGCACCACCAATTCTATCAATGGTTAAGCGGGATGAATATACTAGAATCCAATCGGGGCTTCCTCATCCCATAACCAAGGCAACTTACTGACCAATAAATCCTTCGCCGATAGGATATTTCTGCTATGTCGCAACGCCAGAGAGACTTGCTCCTCCAAGGCCCCAGAACCCCGCGGGGGAGTATCACCGCTAGCCCGCGGAGCACACAATTGTTCTCCCCCTGCAGAAAGCACAGCAGTACCGCCGCAAAGAGACATTCTGGCGAAGGAGTATGACACACTCGATGGAGGCTCTCTAGTTGGATCCTCTAGATATTGCTCTGCAAGGCCGATTCAAGACAACAACGGATAGGTTACAGCATTTCGAGATGAAGAAGGTGGAAGGCTTCAGGGTTTGCAGCGGGGTGAAGTGGAAGGTAGTAGGGGATGTTAGCTCGAAGGAGTTCTTCCGAGCTAACAAGGAATAGGTTGGGGCTTCATCTATTATTGAGTACGCCAAGCTGCCCATTAGCACCTTATCTTTTCCTCATTGTTGCTGAAGTTCTTAATAACATGGTCAAAAAAGGGATGAAAGGGGGTCTAGTCAAAGGAGTATCTCTCCCTATTGAAGATAGGCAGCAAATCATTGCTCAGTTTGCACATGACACTTCCTTCACTCTACATGGAAAAGAAGAACATGTTAAGAATCTTCTGCAGATTTCGAAGTTGTTTTGTTGCAGCTCCAGGCTTGTGGTTAATTGGCTTAAGTCTTGTGGATATTGGCAAGCAGAATACCCTTGGCCTCCTTGAACAAACACTCTAAGGATAACATGGCTTGATAATGGAGGAATGAGCAATCTTCTTGATATGTCATTTGGTATGTACCTATTCTCCTTAGTAGTTGATGATTTCCTAACATCCCGGATTGATAGTAAGCTGAAATATTAGAGCACAATTAAGGTGAATTCTATGGAAAGAGTTGTGATAGTTAATAGAGTCCTTCTATCTTCCACCTTTTTTTCTGATGCCATTTGGGGCGGCACAAAGGCATGTATGTCTAAAGCGCGCTTCCAAGTTTAAAGTTATATGTAATTTAGGACTTTCTAAAGATCTTCTACTAAGGTATATTGGCTTTAATGTTGTCAACCTAGAAAAGAAGGAGGAATTGGAATGGTTAATGCCACGGATGCTTTAGCTTCACTCTTTATGAAGTTCATACTTAAAGCATGTGAGTTGGGTACATCTAATCTCTATGCTCTTTTTAGGTATAGGCTTAGCCATTTTCAACCATATAAGCAAGGTAAATGGTCTCTTAGCATGGAATTCTTTATACTTCTCCATCTCTAAGCTAAATAGGGCTTTAATGCTTGGACTATAGCAAGTTCATCTTGGAGATTCTTGATTAATAATTTGTAGGTGGTCCTTCTCAATGTGGCTGAAGAAATACTCAGTAAATCCTTCTTATGGTAACAATCCTTTCTTCTCATTGGGATTGGATTCTCAAAGTTGAGAGCTTCTTGATTGTACAAAACATGATTGAAATGTATATGGGATGTGTAAACACATTCAATATTTCTTATGCCATACGAAGCCATATTGTGGTTTGCTATGGAAGAAAAAAAGAGTCGTGCGTAGAGTGCTATCGTTATCTAATTAGCAAGCTATTAGGGTTCACAATTTACAAACTAGTTTTCTTTAGCAATAAATGAGGAATAGATGAATGTATTTTGATTTGAAAAAGATATAATTCCGTTGGTTGTTTAACAAACTGTGAAAGAACATCAAACCATGTAAGACAGAGTTTTGGTGAAGAGATCAACAATGTTATTTGCATATTCAATTTTCTTGATCTTAAGTACTTGATCAATAATTAACTCATGGATATAACTAAAATACTTTGGATCAATATGCTTTATCTTATTACCTTTAATGAAACCAACTTGCATTTGTGCAACATAAGCACTATTATCTTTATACAAGATAGTTGGAGAATCATCATATAAAAGTCCACAAGTTGTCTGAATAAGTTTATCAATTGATTGCAATTAAGTATATTTTTGAGATACTTCATATAAGGCAAATTTTTTTGCATGGTTGGATGAAGTTGTAGTTATAGTTTGTTTCATTAATTTCTATGATATTGTAGCCCCATGTCTTAAGAATACAT